TTTTAAAATGATTTGGTGCGGGTGCCTACTATCGACTATAATACACACGTATGTACATAGTACTGTTCTTAATAAGGTTAGTTAATAAGAATTTCTTATATACCATTTGTGCAATGTCATCGAGAAGTTTTTCGTCGGTTATCCTCATCAAATGAAAACGATGAAATACAAACGAACCCCTTGCAATAGGTAATCATATTAAAAAAATTAAAATCAAAGTATCATATTAAAAACAAATCAACAAAAAACTTATTAAAATATTATGTTTTTTTGCTGAATTTCATAGCATACTTCAAGTTTGTACACTTGAAGCTATAGAAATATGATGCGCGTAGCGTATTACAATACGTTATTATATTATTGCGTGCGTGGGATTAACCAAAACAATGGACGATGGTGCACAATGTTGTTAAGAAACATAAATAATCGTTATTGCACACCGTTAAAGTACCTAATTTAAATTATTTTCGGTAACTATTTTAAGTATTCGCTTTCGTTATCGCGTACACTAGATTCACAAGAAAAGAAAACAGCAAAATAAAGTGTTAGAATAGTGTTGCAAGCGCGCACATATATATTTTTAAGGTAGGTGTAGGACGTTTGGTAAGCATTTTTTTTTTTTTTTTTTTACCGTCATAGTGTCATCACATCACGTTGTAACACGCCGATAATGAGACTGTGAAGTTATAAGCAAAACTATAATCTGAACCGCGACCTTGTTTAATATTCCATTGAGATTGAATAGGATTTAAAGTCATTCTAGATAATTATTCTCTTAACATGAAGACAAAAGAAAGACCGACGTCCGATGACGATAGTAGTCAGTAGCATTTTTATGAAGGGTGAGGGGATATGGACCCCTCCCTCGGTCGCAATTTTAAACTGTGATATATTATTTGTTCAGGAGGATCGGGTTTAAAATGTGATATTTTGTTTTTTTCGTTTATATAAGAATTGTATATTAAGTAATAAATTATTAATGGTTAAATATTTTTATGCCTTAATATATAATAAAGTATATCAAATTATTCCCCCCAAAAAAAATCTAAAAACTGCCACTGAGCGCAGTATATAGGAAGGATTTGATAACGAATGAGTGAACAACCGTAAGTGACGGACATTTGTTTTGTTTTCTTTTTTTAAACCATGGAACCACAAAAGCGATACCTACCATCAATAAAATAGATGATTTATGATTAATGAAAATCATTAAATATTTGATGGATAAAATCGACGATGAAAACTGCTTTAAAATTTGTAAAGAACTTACTATTATTGAACCTTTTTTTTTTTTTAGTTTATAGAATCTATAAACATTTTTTTTACAATATACATCCATGAAGAGTGACACAGTGACACGGAAATACAGGGTTAATGTATCCACTGGTGACATTTTATACAGTGATTAATTATAATTTGTGAATCCAGAAGATCGCGATACCACGTTTGTCTTATCATAGGCGGATCTACGGGGTGTGCCGGGTGTGCCTTGGCACACCCTTATGTAAATAATGTGAATAAAAATTGAATTATAACAATTAAAAATATACATACATATTAATTCAATTTTAGTTTTTTGTAAGTAATACTACAAGTATTCAGAATAAGTCTGAAATAATAATTACAAGTATTTTTTACCAATCGTTATTTTACTTTATTAACGAAGCCTTTATTTTTAGAATTTAAATCATTACACGGTCTATACGTACTTATTTATTATTATTGTTAAATTATATTAAATGTTATTGTCATCGACCTGAAAATCTCGCTCTAATAGTGGTTTAATAGTGATGGTATTTTTAGCTAAAAAATTCTATTTTCTCGAAAACAGACACAGCCCTGATAATGATGATTAACAAAATAATAATTTTGATATTTCCGACTTGATTCAACGTGATGTGAATCAAGCGACTCTCAGACACTAGGTAAAATTATATTATTATCGTTAACTTTGTGTTCAATAATAATTTGAAGTTGTTTATAACCTCCCCTTTATATTTAAATAAAATAACTTAAAAAAATGACTGGGCATACTCCAATGTAAAACTCTGGGTCCGCCTATGCGTGTTAGTTGCCTTCTGAGGTCACTTGAAGTATAAGATAAGGATTGGATAGTTCAAAGATCAAAATATACATATTTCTTTATTATTTATTAACTTTTTATTGTACATATGTAGTCAAAAATTATATATTTAATAATTACAATCAATTTGTAAATTCTTCTAAAACTTTTAAAACTTTCCAACCAACCATTTGATGCTTTGAATACCGTGAGAAACTTTTCAGAAATTTGACGTGCTTTGCTCTGTCCTGAAATTGATAAGTTTTTTTGCTCTAGCACTTACAAATGACTCCCAAGTAAAATTATTTATTTTTTTGGTTCGCGTTTGATTTTTCTTTTCTTTTCATCCACCTATTTCCTAAACTACTATATATTTATTGTAGATTTACATTTTAAATATTCGATTAATTTATATAGCTAAACTTATCATTCATCCATTGTTCTTTTGTTTCTTTTTTTGCATAAATATATTATATACTAGACATTTTGACACTTGAAAAGTTTACAAATTTGTACTGATAATTTATCTTTTTCATTAGTTTCAATTAATTTTAATTTAAAGTTGAACATTTATTGATTTTTGACATACTGAGTTATGTAATGAAAAATAATAATAATATGTAAATACAAAAACTTAATGCAGTTTGAAGCGTACATAACATTACTATAAGTTACAACACTAGATAACGAAAAAATAAATGTAATGCAACGAAATAATATAGATTATATTTATTAATTGATAATTTTAAAATAATTATTTCCGTGATAAACAGTTACCTACATGACAAAAATATTGTTTCCATTTCCACATTAGACAAGTTTCATCTTACCTCTGAGCATGATATATTTAAAAATGTATTAGTCGCCAGAATCAAATAATTTTTCCATAAAAAAAAAGTTTACTTTATAATATGTTATTCCAATTAGAGAGAAAGATTTTAGATACATATTGGAAAATTGATTCCCTGTACTTTACATTTTTTTTTTTTTAAATTAACAGTTCAACAATATGTTGTGTCCTTACTGATCTCCTTAAATCACTCACAATTCCTAAGAAAGTCTTGGGTAAATCAATAACCTATTGACTATTTCAACATCTATTTTTTATAAATATTTGGTATTTTAGATATTAAATTAATACTAATGAGCAGGGCTAGGGACTTAATGCCCTTAAAAACCTTAAAATATGTATGCATTTATGCCCTAAAGAATCAATAAATATGCTATTAAAATATGCATTTAAAAAAAATTATATTTGTAATAATTAATTAAATAAAAAAATTAAAATAATAATAAATAATAATATTTTTAAACATGATAGATATGATGAACTAAAATAAATATTTTCTTTTTTTTAGATTTGTTTTCATTCTATAATGAGTTTTCGTCTAAAACAAAAAAAAATTTAAACTGTTTTAAAAATACATTGATACATTGTTTCTATTTTTAATATAGTACTAATTACCTTGAGCATAACATTGGAATATAAGATATTTTCTAAAATTGTGAAATTTGAATGACCGCCTGTTATCAGCTAAAATATTTTTATATTTATAAAAGGAACATTTCACTTCTACGGAACTTGTTGGTGCAATATTGTAAAATTGTAGATCACTACTACTAAAATCTGCAGGAAATCTGTCCATAGATTTATTTTTTCTATTTCAAATGTTTGATATTTTTTTAGTTGATCAAATCCAACATTTTTCTCCAAAACTATTTTAATGTTGTCATTAATTGCTTTAGCTTGTGCAGGTCCTTCAATTTTTGCAGAATGTATATGTTATTTTGTAGTTTTAATTATTTCAAAGGATTCAATTAGTACTACACTTTAGGTTTCAAGTCGAGTGATAGTTGAAGAAAATCCATAATTTTTTTTATTAAATTAAAAAACTTACTCTTTCATATAAATAATTGTCATATATGCACTTATAAAATGAAAAATGGTCAAATATGCATTTATATATATTTTAAATAGAAACTTGTATAGATATGAAACAAATTTCTGTATTACTCAGCTATTTTTTTGATGATCATTTAAAAACATGAAAAGTCCTAGAAGTTCTGAGCCCTACTAATGAGAAATAATATTGAAATTAATAATATTTTAAAAATAATAAATAGGGAATCATTACAATTGGTATAAAAAATTAATTATACACAACAAAAAATGAAAATGATCAAATTAAATAGTTGTTTACATATCAATGTAAATATGTTTAAAATACTTCAGACTATGAGTATAATTAATTTATAATAAAATTATAATCTTACAAAATACAGATGTCACATGACACAAGTCTCATTTAAACCCATCCAACAAAAATCAATTTATTCTAATTTATAAAATATGATGAACTACTAACACTTTTAATTTTTGGTTTTCCATAATATTTATGGTAAATTTGTCAAATTGGATAAATTTTACCAACTATTCCGCTTGCCAGAAGTGTGCCAGACAAGTACTGCAATTGAATACACGGATCATAATTGTTTTCATGATTATCTAACAAATTAAATATAATCTAGTTCCGATTTTAACTCCTCTAACAAATGAAATCTTTAAATTTAATATTTTATTATTTCAAAATGTCTTTACAAAATTTTTTTGGTATTTAAATGTATAATAAAATACTATAATGCTTCAAAATTCTTAATTTTAAAAATAATAGTAATTAATATAAATTACATATAATTACATTTTCAAAAATTAGTAGTGTAAATTGTTGACATTCTTTTTTTTATATTTTCTTGCTTGATTTTTACAATTTGACAAAAATAAAAAATAAATATAAATTTGCAGTAAAAACGTACTTTTAATATATTTTATACACACCTTAAGTCGTTTCTTTCTAGTCAAATGTCAGTTTTCCATTATTAAAAATAATAAACCAATTTTTAATCAATAAGGTCAGAATAAAATAATTAAACAAAAGAATACATTCTGTATCTATTTACTATAGATTTTAATGGTATAATTAATCACAGTTTAGAATTTTAAACTATATTAATTTATCATTTTTATAACTATTTACACTATGAAGTTATGCAACTTAATTTTTTTTTGGTGGTACCCAAGCTTGAATTTTCGGAGGCATTGTAGAGTATGGCACATATTGACGTTCAGTTCCTGTTTCATTTTCTGTATGTTTTGCTATCCACTTGTACTTAGGTCTGTTTGGATCCTGAAATATAATAATTATAATAAATTATTTTCATCCATAAATTACATTCATTAGCTGATATTTAATATTTGTATTACTTTTATTTTTAATAAAATACTTTTTTTTTTCAAACTAATCGAGATGTGTAAAATTTTAAATAAGGAAATAAAACATATAGCTCAAAATGCATTACCAGCTAGTTAAATTGATTTATATTTGCATACAATTATAAGCATAACAACATAAATATTTTAATATAAATTAAATAATTTAAACTAATCAAAAATATATTTTATCAAAAAAAATTGATTTTATACTAATAGAGAAATTGAATTAGAAATATTAAATATTCTTTTTAAAATAGATGTTTGATATAATGAAATATAAGTTATACTGTTTAAAACATAAATAAAATAATTTTAATATTATAATATATAAATAAACTATAATATTTATATATTAATATAGTCAACTGTACAAGTTTTGGTTTTAGTCATTATCTTGATTTAACGGTTAAAATTTAACAAAATAATAAATAATTTGTTACTGTAATACAAAGGTCGAGAAGAACTGAATTAAACAAATTTAATATATTTTATTACATCTATTTAAGAAAAATTAAGCATAATAAAATATTGGTTAACTTTTTTCTTCATAATTATGACTAACAATTATTTATTCTTTTGAATTCACTGATCACAATATAATAAACTGCCATTTTATGAAATATTTTATTTTTATCGTAATTTCTTTAACTTAATCAATATATAATGCTAGTAAATAATAAATTGAAATTACATTATATGGAAGAAGATCTGTTTTGTAATGTAGCCAACCATACCATTCAGCTGTAATTTGACTAGCATCATAATTCAAAAATACTTGGTCATTGTACTCAACCCAACGATTCCTTCCTAAAATATATTGTTAGATTTAAAAAAATATGTTATTAAATTTAATATTATAAATAATTAGAATTTTACCATAAAAATATAAATTGTTTTCATAATAACGATTGCCCATTTCATCAGTACCAACTAGTGTTCCAATTTTCAATTCATCTTGCCTGTAAATTAAAGAAAATAGTTAAATTGAACAAATTAAAAAGTAAAAAATAAATCTTTTAAAAATAGCAAATGGTAAAAATTACTAAAATAATTAATTTTTATTTTGTCTAAAACTTCATGATAATAGTTAATTAAAATTACTATTCACAAAATAAAAAATTCAGTAAGTTAGTTTTGAATTTCAAAATATGTTTTTAATATGTTATTATTATTGCAAGTATTTTAAACTACATTTTGCATTGTAGGTTTGAGAAAATGTTTTTAATCTTAACCTAGTCGCTAAAGGGTATATTTCATATAAATATAATATTCATAAATATAACATAACTTACATAGCTATCTAATGTATTACCTTCTAGCAACGATTACTAAATGACCAACTTTTAAACTTGTAAGTATACTCAGTATACGTCTATCATTTGTGTCAGACAGATAAAGGCAATCATTTTAAACGCCTCAATTAACATTGAATAAACTTACCTGAATAGTTTTTTAAATGAATTTAGGAATCCACCGTTGGCTTTGATGATGTTGAAGCCAGTGATTAATCTGTTGAAAGGAAAAAGATTGTTCATTTTGACGAGATGCAAACCATAGGAAAAAAAAATTATAAACTGTGCAATTTCTAAAAATTTAATGAACTTCACTGCGACGACTGTTATCAAATTACTTGTGTTATCAATGTCAAGTTTTAATCAGCTGACGTTTATTTTCTCTAAAAATTTTTGAGTTATATTTATTGATGTTACCTGGATCCGTTGATTTGCCAACCTGCACTTAAATTTTCGAAAACTATTGGTAGTTTGCTGTATTGTACAAACCGCACAGTGTACTCTCAACGTTCACGTTTGTTGAATGTTGTTGGTACCACTGCTGAAAAATGAATTACTGAGTGGGGCTAAGATCAACTCCTTTTTCGTTTTTTGCCCTATCGCTATAACCCATGAGGAATGCTTCAATTGCAATCATTTCTCTTTCGGCTCTCCTGTTCACAACTTGCACGTGCTTAATGCGGCACGCGAATTCTCGCGGTCGCGTGGAGTTTTCATCCTTTCAATGTTCATCTTATGACCTCCGGTATCGATGTCGTGCATGATTCGTCATCGCACCATGGCGATGTCATCACATCTAGAGTAAGTATGTACTATTAATTTATCTTCTATCGTACACGCTCTCGACGGCCATCTTTGATCAAGTTGATCCACGTGTTCGGTGTCTGTATATTCAATCAATTCCCCCAATGGCTTATGACGCAATAATTGCTCACGCATGTGCTACGTAGTCGAATTTTACCCGCGTTCTAGTTAATAATCATCGTGAAGAAACGGTCTTCTATCATTCTCTTCTTAACTATAATATAATTTATATTTTGTTCTTGGGAGCAATAACTTGTTTTACCGCTATTAACCGTTTTTTTGATAGATGGCGGTCGTTTATTTGATACCGGCGAATCTTGTCACAACCTTGGTTTTTTTTCACGTGGTAGATCTGAATTATTGTGTAGAATCCCCAATATTAAGATATTAACAATGTTTTACGAAACATGATTTTATAGTGATTACGTAAACACTGGTTTTTTCGTTTCGATTTCGTGGGAAGAATTGATATTGTATTCATAAAAAAAATCATGATTAATGTTGATCCTTTTTTTTCTTTTCACCAGATGATTGTTAAAATATACTATTTTATAAGGGAGTAAAGCAAATTTTAAAGTATAATGTAAATATTTAGTAAAAATACTTGCATTAATAATGAATATGAGTGATAGTGTTGACTACAATTACATTTTTTCATACCTTTGATGAGTTTTTAATTCGTCAAAGAAATAACGTGTCCACTCCCCAGCTTCCTACTAATTTTGTTATTAGTTAAGGACGTTTAGTGAGTGGTAAAATATATTCCAAAGTATCGTAACTACTGTTTTGTGTTGTATAAATAGTACTGCACTTTTGGAAACAACTTGTTCTAATCAAATAATTATGTGAGTTCATTATTTTTATCAAAATCAAATGTTTTTTATTACCTAAATTAATTATTAATTTAAATTTAAACATATTAATCGAACTTAAAACTATTTTATTAAAAAAAATAAGGATACCTTATATATCTTACCTTTAATATATATAGTATACTTATTTTCATATTGTTCCTTAAAAATCTTAATGATTTACCACCTTTATCAAGAATCTCAGAATATTTGTCTCAAAATTTTAGTTGTTAAAAACTTAAATGTGTGTAATTTATTTATTTTTTACTAATATATTAATCATTAAGTATTTTTATTATTTTATGTTTGTTATTCTAAATAATAAGGAAATCCTATGGTTTTTACAATTTTATTAGCTTGTGATAACTCACACTGTTAGAGAAAATCGTTCAACCATTCATTTTTAGAATAACTGTAATTGATTATGTAATAAAAAGTCATCCTTCCACCAATGGTTTATTTTTATAATTATAGAACTAATAACATCATCACGATAGTTAACTAAACACTTAGTCAATTATTTTCATTTAATTGTCAGTGGTATGCAAATTGTTAGTAATAATCTAATACGCTAGTGGTTATACTAAGTTTTTTTTTTTTGTGTATAAAATTCAAACTTATATTTTCAAAGAAATTTCATTATTTTTAGTGTCTGGGTTGTGTGATATTGTTTTCATATTTATTTATTTTTTATCTGTCTATTTTCTTTATTAAGATTTAAAATATATTCTAAAATAACTTAAAAAGTTTATGCATTAAGTAAACCTATTTACTCATTTGTAAAAATGAATGTTTAATACAGATAATTAGAGGTTTGTATAAGTATACATACACTTAGGTCTATCATTTCTATAATTTTTTTCAATAACAGCTTGAAAAATCTATTGTCATGAAAAATAAAATTACAATTTAATAGGTTGGAAGTACTTTGTTGTAGTTTTAATTATATTACTGAAACGACCTTTTATAACTAACAATTATAATAATACTGTATATTTGAATACTTAAAAATTTTATTTTAGTATTATCGTGTCTTAAATTAACATAAATATATTAATATGTTAATAAAAAAAAAAAAAACAATATTTCAGCGGAAGAAGGGGGATTTAAGTTGACAGAAATATCTGACACATACTATCTAGTACATAATGTAATAATTATGAATTTTATAATATAGAAAGTTTTACTTCCATGATATTAAGTAAATTAATAGATTGATTGTTAGATAAAATCTAATGTGCAGCAGTTGCTTTAAAAAAAAAAAGCGCGAGTGATACTGGGTTGAAAAGTACCATTACAACAAATTAATATACGAAATAATTATGAATTATATAATCTGGGGCCATAAAATTTTTCAGCAATTTTACATTTAAGTACATGGAGAAAAGAAACTTGTCCAAAATTTTGATTTTTTTTTTTTTTTTTTCTATTCGAGAACTTTTTGATGCATTGTATAATCTAAAGGTTCAAAATCTGGTTGAAATTCAAGGTATAACTGAAATAATTGTTGTTGAGTTAGGGAATGAAAGTTTATCATTTATTTATTTTTATTGTATTGCTCGATAATACATCAATTAAACTCATAACCCCTTTAAGGTTTCTAATTTTTGTTACTTTTGATAAACACTATTATAGATTAACAAAACTTCATTGTATTAGTTGTTGATATATATTTTAATGCGATGATAAAATAAATATTAGCTACATAAACTGAATCATGTGCCCATATTATGTATATTCTTTTTATCTTGTTGGTACGCATTGGATTCAAGACCAGATAATTTTGCCCACATTTGACAGAATGTACTGCGTCATTTTAATAATAATTTTTACTATAGTTATTTGAAGTTTTTTTTTTTTTATAAATCTTATTCAACATTTTGATATTTGATAATACAGTTTAATAATAACTGTAATTAATGAAGTATTTGTATTAATATAATGAATAATTAATCTTTTTCCAGATTTTTTGGGAAAGCATTTAAAATTTCATCATATTTATTAGTATTTGGATAGATGAAAAATATTCCTGTCTTTTCTGATATCTTAATACTGAAAAGAATTTTAAGTAAGTCTTGTTCAGTGTTATTATTATTAATATTTTTTCAATTTTAGTATGATAATAAAAATTCATTCAGAATTTTGTAGATATCTTACTAAATTATTTATTCATAATTTTACAATTTATTTTTCATGTTTGACTATGTTTAAAAAATGTATTTAAAAAAAATATGTTGCTATTTGCAAGCTCTTCCGTTTCACTGCATTTATGTCTTCTACAAATAAATATAAAATTATTTAATTGTAAAAAAAATAATATATTTTTTATTATGTACGAATTATTACAATTTTTTCTGATTTTATTATAAGTGCATTAAAACAATCTTAATTCTAAAAGTACCTTGAGAAAAATAAAATCTTAAGAACCACTGCCTTTAACACTTTCACTTCTATGGACGCATACATATTTCCAATGTTAGTGACTGTGGTGCTATTGATGTACATATGTGTCCTATCATTAAATCAACAATAACAGTTTTCGTTGATGTGATAGTTAAACATATAATAAACGATAATATAAATTTAAATTAAAATTTAACTTAGAAAAACTTGAAATAAACAATTTAACTGTATTGAGAATTTTTATTTGGAATATTTTCCTAATCTTCAACATCTAACGTTTGATCGACAGCATGCAACACAATTTGGCGCAGTCGGTAGTTCTTCTTTTTTTTGAAAAGAATTTCTAACGAAATTTAATTCACGGAGGAAATCAATTCATTTGATCATCGTTGAAGAAGGAAGTGGCAATTTCACCTTCGGCAACCAGAAGAAAAAAACCTTGTGTGGCAGTCATTCAATCAAAACAAAATGTCAAAAGGAACGTCCAACATCGCTTTATTGTAAGCATATATTAAATCTTATTTAGTTAAATAAGAATGACATTTAACGGGGAATTATATTAAGAGTGTGTAAGAGGATAATATTTTTAAAGTAAATAAATAAAAATGGATAAATGATAAATAACAGTAAAAACAAATGTGTGTTCTCTAAAATAATATCAAATAATAATGTATTTATTTCTATAGAAAACAAAAAAACCGAACAGGGATAGCCTCAATAATGATTTTATCACCACCACCTTTAGCTAGATTTGAAAACATGACAAATGAAGAATTAGTGGAATTAATATTTGAATCACGAAGAGTAATACAAATAATGAATAACCCAGATAATAATGAGGAAATAAAGGAAAAGTGGAAGATATATAATGAATGTTTGGAGTAATTAATATGTAGTATGTAACATACTACATATGCAATATGTAATAGTTTGAACAAATACAAACCAGTTAAATTACAAAGAACACCCATAATATTAATGGAGGATTACAAGTTGAGAATGTTCAACGGACAGGATGTAGATCGACAGAAACAGTATCTAGGGGGAATATTCCTGAAAAAATCAGATGTGCTGAGACCTTTATTGGGGCAGATTGACATGAGTGTCAATCACCAGGGAGCAACAAGTCTTGGTTCGGTAATTATCTCAAGATATTTGCATTCAGACAATGCACAGTCATTGTCACATGGAATGGACTAACAGATATAAAAAATATTAAGAAAACTTAGGATAACAGGAATAAGGTAAATACTCGACATAACGAATTATAGTATTAATAACGATAATGTATTTAGTAAAATTTAACAGACGTAAATAATAAGAAAATAGTATATTCTGAGGAAATAGGTTATGTGAATAAAGAATTTTGAGTTTGAAGGAGATGCATGAAATAATATGTAGAGAATAGCATGAGATTACACATTGTCATGATCCAGTGACAGATGTAATTTTAACTAAATGCATCTTCAATTACATAATAAATAATATTATATTATATAATTAATTTTCATATTATATTTAATAAAAAAAAATATTAATATTGTTAGTATAAGAAATCAAAATATCATGTAAAATTAAGAAAAAAATTTTTTTTTATTAATCATAAATTTTGTAATCAATGTCATATCATATTAAAAAAAAAAAAATTGTAAAACAAAATGTTAGGTTAGGATTAATTAAATTAGGGCGTATTGTAAAAGATTTCTATCTGAGGACAGAAATCTTTTCGCGCGGAAGTGTTGCGGACATACATAAATGTAGGTCCTTACAACTCTTACATGGGCGGGACCACATAAATCATAAATAATAGAAATCAGGAAATGATTATAATTAATATAATATTCACATTCGTATGAATAGATAGGAATTTTAATTAAAATCAGAAGGTAAAACAAATACATATTATATGTGAATTGTATGGTAACATTTCAAAATGTAATTAAAAAGAGTCACATTAAATATGGAGGATGTGTAAATAGTAATATTAACGAAGTCACTAAAGTGATAAATCTTATGTTTATAATAATTGAAAACAACTTTTGCACACAGGACGATTGATTCCCACGAGACCTAAGTATATAAGGGGGGGTTAGGAATAGACCAATATTTAGATGTGGTTTATACGAGTAGTAGCGAGCACCTCCACGCCAGATCATATTTTAAATTAATTATTTGTTCTTAGAAAAATTTTAAATAAATAGTTAAACTATATTGAGTATTTTTATTTGGAATATTTTCCTAATCTTCAACATCTTTACGATTGATCGACGGCATGTAACATTAGTAACTGAAATATTTCAATTCAGATTTTTGATTACACTGTCATATTTTATTTTTAATTATTAATTATTATTGTTATTTTTTTTTTTTTATCTACTGAGCTTTTTATAAAATATTTAATAACATTATTTAGCCTGTAATTATGTTAAGCCCATTTTAAGAACTACTGTTAAAGAGTTAAATATACTTATCTATTAATTGGCAAATTTTGATCCATTTTTTTAATTCAGATTCATTGAGTATAAATCTATATAGTGTGAAAATACCAGTTAAATAATTTATAAAATATAGCCTGAACAGAGTAGATGCATTTGTACTTTTTGGTCTACAGTGAAAGGGTTAAATAAAAAAAAATATCTTTATTTAATTATAGGATTCTACAATGTTTTATAGTTCTAATTTTTATAATATTTTCCTCTAGTTTCTACCATACATTTTATTATAAATTCCAAGTTTACAATGATGAATATTTCAGGCTCCCTCATCTGAGAGAACCCAAAATTAAATAATGCAGACATAAGCTATTATCTGAGTAAACATTTTACATTACAAAAATACTAATAAAATAACTAATTTATTGTGATGAAAATTTCAAGCTCCCTCATCCGAGTGAACCCATTGGAATATACTGTAGAATAAACAATATTTTGTGAATTCTTAACTAGTTATTAGTTATCTTTTTGTATTTATTACCAAGTACTGTTATATTTTATGATGACTTAAACAGGCTCCCTCTTCTGAGTAAATCTGTTAAAAGATTTACTGCGGAAAACTGCTGTAATGTCTGATAGTTTTTGTCCCGGTTTTTGTTTAGTAATATTCAATTCCAAAATTTTAATAATATAAATATTGTGTATTTTTCTAATATATGATAATATTTGCAGGTGCTGTGATTTTTATTTTTTTTTCAAAAGTAATGTTTGAAAATATACTGTCAGTCAATACTACTTAAATGCTTTATGGGATATATGCTTTAACATAATTCTCAATTCCATATAAGTTTGGTTCAAACAATTTTGTAAGTAACTGTTGTTATGATTATGTTATTATGATATGTTGCTATGATTATCTGAAAATTAGTAATGATATTGCAATCAATCTACATCAATGATGTTATAATTGATTTGCTAGTTTTAACCCACAACTAATTAGGGTAAAATTATTCCACGAATAATATTTGAAAACTAGTTTCAATAATTATTTTTATATATAATGACTTGTTTATTAATATTAATTAAATATTTTCTTATTTTTAATTAAATCAACCCTAGGTTAGTTATTTGTACCATAATATTTTTTGGCACAATATAAAATTGCTTCTGTTAATCCCTAAAATTATGAGATTTGTATTTTTTTTTCTTTTCTTAAAAATTAATCTGAGGTATATTATTTTGTTTAATATATTTTTCAAAAATATTTGATAAAATTTATTTCAATAAATGCAAAACTGTAATAAAAATTATTTTTGACACCAATAATGTTTAAGCAGATCACTGATGACATATTACATTTTAATTATTAAGTATTTCTTTATTGAATGCAAAACTGATTCATTAGAACAGTGCTTCTCAAAAAATTTTGACTCGCGGCGCCCTTTTTGATGCAAGGCTTTTTCAGGGCGTCTTCCTCAAGTCATAGCATGACTAATCATAGAGAATATTTTAGACCTGATAATATTTCATGACAGCGCGACGCCCCTGCACAAATATTGTGGCACACACTTTGGCAACCGCTGTATTATGATATAAGAAAAATAAATTTGTTTTAAAAGAAATAGTTGGGGAAGCTGCTTTATATCTTTTTATTTGTTTATAAGTAATAGAAATATGAAGTATTAGGATAATTTGTTATACATTTTTTTTTATGAAGTTTATGAAGAATTTAAATTAATATTTCAAAGTAACACAAGAAATACAACCAATTATTACAATCTAATAAATGGTGAGATATTCAAGTATAGGTTTATTCAATTACTAAATAATCTCAAAGAGCCTTCAGTTATTGTAATTAATTGTCATGCACTTTACCATTTTCACCAAACTATTCTATCCTTAATAAATCTAACCCAAAACAAACTGAAAAATAGTTAACATCCAAAATTGGTTTACTGAAAACAATTTTATATTTCATCCATTTATAAAATACTTGCAAAACTTTGCCAAAAAATGAACACTTAATGGAAAAAAAAAAATAAGCCTGATAAAATTGCATTAGATATAGGTCATCCATATAAGTTATCCATCTACTATCTTACTTACCTTTGTAATTATAATCCAATTGTTGATTTGGGCTCAAGTGAAGTAACTAAAAACACTTCAAATAGATGACATTGAATGTCATAATTTAGATGTAGTCAATGAATGATTAGAAGAAATGTGTCCTCTGTGCAAACAATATCTAGGCTCTAAGGATAACAAAAAGAAAATTATGAAGGATATCAAAATAGAACCAATAGTTATAATTACATTATCAGATGAATGAGGAAAACAGTTTTATCTTTCTTTATTAAATAATATTAAATTTAAAATATTTTGTATTTGTGGTTTATAATGTTGAATTTTTTTTTTTTTGGATATTTTTGATCTACTATCCAGCTTCCAATATTAAATTTTATATAAGGACGTTTAGTTGGTGGTAAATTAAAGTAACAGTTTAAAAGAAATCAGTTGTTCTTAATTAAGTTATTCTTTTTCTGTAACAAATTATAAGTAAATTTATGGTATGCGTTTTATCATTTACCATAATATATATTATTGTTTTTGTAAAAAAAATTATGTGTTTCACTATCCAGCTTCCTACTTATATAAATTTATGATAGGACGTTTAATTGGTGATAAATTATATCTAAGAAATAATGATTTTTGAACTTTAATATCATTTTTAAAGTTTTTCTTTATTTTTAGTACAAGTTAATTTTCTAATTATCCTATTGCAATTTAATCCACTCCCCAGCTTCCTGCTCAACATAATGTGAATAAGGACGTTTAGTGAGTGGGAAAGGAAACTTCTAAATTATCATAACTTCTTAATTGTTTTATATGATTATGAAGTACTACAATTTTGATCACATTTTTAATGAAGTCAAGTTTTAAATAAACTAATAATATAAACTAACTGAAGTGTTAGGTTATTTTTCAAATAATTAAATAGTTAAATAACTAGGTATATGATGTGATTCAGGTATTGTTATCCACTTTACAATTATTACTTTATTTCATCTATGTAAATAATATAAATATTTTAAAATTAAATAGAAAAAAATTAAGTTGCATATTTTTCTTATAAAATCCATTCAGTTAAAATTAGTTGAAATTTTTATTAAAATTTTGAAGAAATCGTTTGAATGGAAAATCAATATCTGTTACTTTGGTTCATCGCTATAAACATTGTGTTTGAATTTATACAAACAGAGAACATCTATGAAACATTTAGACAAAATATGTGCTTTATAGAAAATTAGGTTTATATTATCTTTTAAGCTAAAATAATTTGACATACTTTTTTTTTTAATTTAAATTACTGTGTAAGATATAATATTAAACAAATTATGTCATTCCTTTCTAATCATTATTAACATTACAATTACTTAAAATATTTACCTTATAAATCTTGAAATCCTGTATTTTCATTATTTTGTGGCCTTCATGACTAATTATAAATGAAATATTTATGTTTACAGATCAAAAAATGAAAGACCTTTAATAGATTTCAAAAGTTAACTATTCAGAGTTCTTTAATTTGCTATCTAATGATTAATGGTAAGTTCAAAAAAATTTTTGTTTATGAATACTTATTTTTTTTAAATTGTTAAATTTTTAATATTAAGATAGTCATTAATAAAATCAATATTGATTTTCGTTATTTTTTTTTTTTTTTTTACCAGTGTTAAAGTATTCACATTAATAGTTGCTGAATATCACACTCGGTTTTGTAATAGTGTCTTATGAAGACTGTTATTACTTTTTTATGGACTATTATCATCTTTCATCGACATCTAATTACTATTTTTAAAACGCAAGTTTTTTTTATATATATATTAAATATCTTGATTGAATTATTATTTATTATGAAAATTTAATTTAAAAAATACCTGTGATACTTATACTTTATTTTATTATTTATAAATATATTATTGCCCTCATCAATTAAAGTTATTTAAATCTTAGCTAGACATTTAGTTTAAGACAATAATATAAATAATATAATTGTAATTAAAATGTTTTGCACAAAACAGTTTATATAATCATGTCAACATGTTCAAAGAAAAAATGTTTTCTAAATGTAATATGCAAAAAGTATTTTTATGTTTGCAAACCATAATAGATTTAATTGTTTAATAGATAATAACTAACCATATTTATTAAACAAACTTGTTTATATAATATTTATAAAAATATATGTTTAATCCTTTCACTGCCAGAAGATTTTCACTCTGTTCCCTTTCTTTGCCACACAAATTTGAATTATTTTATTTTTATTTGTTTGTACTTTAAATTGTCCTGAGAGATGTATCAGACCATCTTGTGAAGTGTAAAAAAAATTCTAAAATTATTTTTGACTAAGTAATTTAAGTTTTAAAAAATATACGCAATGATTTCCCAAAATACTGTATTTATTTTGAATAATTGTATGTATTTTAAACTTTTATGTAGGTATACAAATTATATTTCAAATATATCAAAAATATTTCTTCTGGGTGTTGTTGCATGCGGCAGTTAAACCGTGTAAAGGTGATGATGTCTCTAGGAATATTCCAAATAAAATACTCAAACCAACTTGTTTATTGAAATATTTCTAAGTACAAATTATTTAATTAATTTGACAAACTGGCGTGGAGATGCTCGCTAATGTACACGTATTTGAATATTGGTCTATTCCCCACCCCCTTATATACTCAGGTCTCATGGGAATTTGCTGCGTATTTCTATGGAATAAGTTATTTCCAATTATTGTTACTACCCTGAGGTGCTAAATTGTTATTTTAATTGATGACCTCAATATTATTACTATTCGCACATTTCTCATATTTTGTTTTGCGCTATTATTAATTGCATTTATTATAATACTTTAAAATGTAGCCTAACAGCTCATATATAGTATGAATTCGTGTTACCCTCGGGTCTTCATCATTCCCTTCTATATTGTTCACCCGATTTCTACTATTTGTGATTTATGTGATCCCCCTATGTATTGGTAGTCGTAAGGACCTACATTTATGTATGTCCGTAACAGTGCGATAAATTTTAAAGCATGGAACTGGATACAATCCTACAAATTTTATACATATGTTATATGTAGTGTTTTCTTTTTTTCTTTTAGTTTTGGTACACTAAACATCTTTGTGGTTTGGTTTTCTTTTATGTAGGTGGTATCATAGAAGGAAAATATCCTTGTAAGCGATCTTCTAAACATGAATTAGAACGTTGGCATATACGCCTGTGTGATTTGTTCTGTTCTTTCAAGACTACAAATGTTTATAGGTTCGATGCTATTATTTATAAAAGTTCTGTACGTCGTTTCCTAAGCGGTGGTTCACGAAATTCTGAAGATGATGAACCATCGGTGTTTAAAGTATTGGAAGATGATGATGAACATAGTGTCATACTAATAATTGTATAAGACCTTCAACTTTTCAAGATCATTATCATCACTGAGAAAAATTAAATAATTTTAGTAATAATTAAAATTAGTTAAAAAAAACTTTAAATAAAGAAAAAGGTTTAGCTAAAAAAATTGAAATTTTTAAAAATTCATCCAAATAGCTACTAACTGGTTAGTAAGGTAATTTGGTTAGTAGGATAACTGCCTTAATCTTTCAAATACTTCGAATGATATAAAATATCTCGAGCATATATTATGCTATTGTCTAGATATAAAAATGTTTTTAATCCATTTAGCATTGGTCAACCTTTTCACCAGCATTTTTTTTTTTTCGATCGTTTGAAATATGTATCCATAGTTTTTAATTTTAAATTTTAAAAAATTGACAAAATATGCAAAATAAGCATAAACATTTTAAAATATGCACTCTCCTGCAAAATCTAAAAAAATATGACATTCAAATTTTAGATTGATATGACACCGAGAAACAAATTTATTTCGCACTCGGCTATATTTAACAATAATTAAAAAAAGTATGCAAATGTGAACCGCTCGGGTTCTGCGATCGGTTCAGTTAATTCCGCCGATCACAAGTAACGTTTTGAGTTCGCTAATTCGGAGTCAACGTGGAAGTTGTTAATTCACACCATTAATATAAAAAAAAACTAACACACTGTTTTATTGATTCGTTTATTAAAATATTTATACACTCACGAGAACTAATACACTTGCTTAGCTGTTACACGACTGACTACTCGATGCCGGGTGGTCAGGCGTGTACGTATAATAAAATGGATAAATACATAGTCAGCATTTATCCCCACTTATTAATACATATATATAAATGTTATTAATAATAATATACTATGGTGTACATAACACAAATGCTAAAAGTCCCTAAGCCTAAACATGCATTTCCTTTAATACAATTTATTAAAACTTCAATGTTTTATTTATTTTTTTATGACCATACTTGCATATATTTCCTAAATTTCATTTTATGCTCTTGTGATTAATTATGAAATATTTATTATAAATATTATTCCTTTAATAACATTGATTTTATTAATTATATGGTTTGAAGCAATAAAATATCTCCATTACGTTGTCTTAAAATTCACCCACAATTTTTTTTTTTTTTTAGGAAATTTATCGTTCAGATTTTCATTAAAACTTATCTTGTTTTTTAATACTCGTACATTTAAGATAAAATATATTAAAATATAGCTTATTCATAAAGTTTGTTATTTTGTATGTATTAACTTACAATTACATACTTAATTTGATTTTGAATCCGTGAGTTTGAAACATTTTCAATTATCACACCAGGGTTTCTTACGCCAACAAATAGCACTTTGGTCTGCGATCCATGACCCGAAACGCTTGGTCGTTTTAAAAAAATAAACACCACACAGTTGTGTATTTCTGCTGTGTCTTCCTGCTATAGAAGTTTTGCCAAATTTTAATCTTCTTAAGTTCCTACTAAAAATTAGAATTAATTAATATTCAAGCAATTTTAATAGTTTATTTTATTATTTTGTATTTGATGAATTAGTTTATTTTGTTAAACATCATACAATTTAAAATTCTGATTTTCATATATATATATTATGGTGACCATATTTAAAAAATATATATATATATAAGACAAAATTAAAAGTAATTAAATTATATATGTATATATACTTTTTTTACAATTTGATATATTCAATCTGAACAACGTAGCACAATAAGCATATGTGATATTATCATGTAACAAGTGAATTTTTGTATTAAGAAATCACCTATTGATAACACGGCTAGGAATCAATGATATCTATATAGAGTCTATATCGCCGGTTTTTTTTTTTTTTTTTTTTACAAATCACGGCACCGATTCCTTTATAGACTACGCCCGGGGTTCCCCGGTATAGTTTGGGTGTAGAAATTATCAATGGATTTTGGGGAGTTTGTAGGCATTAATGGAAGTGTTTGTAGATTTATGCAGCTTCCTCTGTCACAGTTTTTATCTTAAGATCTTTATGTAGAATATAATTAGACATAAAGGACTATTTATATTTTTGATGGTGGCGAATTTATAATTTTTGTAATTACTATATTCTGAAACTGCTGGAATTTGTTATATACCATATATAATATAATATAAATAATTAATAAAGCAATATTATTATTATTATGTACTTAAACTAACCTTTTTATACTAATGCATTAATTATAAAATCAAAATATAATATTTTTAATATTTTTTCATGGCATGCTCTATAAAAAAAAAAAAGGTAATTTTGGGCACACAGTGTTCAAAATGCTTGCCATCCCTATTATATAAGATACTTATGCAGCAGTTGAAGACCATACGTCGATGTTGGTTTTAGAAGTGTTTTTACATAAGAACTTTAACTTTTAATTTAGAACGTTTATTGTTTATAAGCAAGGAACGCAACCTGCGGAGTCAAGCATTTAATGCAAGTATCTTGATACGGACATGGGCGTTTCAAGTAAGTCATTTATCCAAGTTAAGTCCTAAGTATCTGACTGTGTTAAACATATTAGAATAAGAACATTATATAAAGAGCCATTTGGACAGAAAAAATGACATAAAGTGAATGTTGTATACACTGACTTATTCGGATTTGGTTGAATTCGCCGTTTTGTGTACTATTCTGACATTAAATTTAGATTAATTTGGAGGGTTGCAGAAGCGCAATTTAAGGATCATTGTCTATTAAAATTATGGTTATGTTGTCTGCATAATCGGCTACTATGATATTTAAGGAAATTTGCTGGTCTGATGTGTAAATATTAAATAAAAGGGGTGAGAAGATTCCACCCAAAGGAACATCAGCGAAAATTTGCTTAATTTTCGAAACAGAAGATCAAAACTTAATTTGGAAGTGAGGGTTTGTTAATAAGATTTAAGCAATAAGTATAATGAGAGGGAGAGGGATTTTTTTTAATTTAAAAAGTAGACCATCGTACCAAACTCTATAAAACGCTTGGCTTATGCCGAGAAAGACACAAATACAGTAATATTTTTTTTCTAAGGAATATGAAATTGCGTCAACTAACCCCCCATGTATTTGGTGTATTGTACTGTGCCCTGAGCGAAAGCCAAAATAATAGTTTGTAGAATCTTATTTGTGAAAATGTAGGGTAAGAGCCTTGTAAGTATTAGCCTATCTAATACTTTTGCTAGAAATGGCAACAGGCTTATTGGCCTGTATGATAAAGGCAAATCCAACAGTTTGTCAGGTTTGGGAATTAAAATTATATTGGAGAATTTCGATAAAAGTGGAAAGTTTAACAGTCGTAAGATAGCATAAAATAAACACATTGAGAATAGAATAGCTTTTTTCGGTAGATATTTTGCTACTTCGACGGTAATTAAATCGAAGCCGGGTAATTTTTGAAAGAATACTTCTGTATTGTAAATTTCATTTTAA